GGAGGGCGGGTTCGGAGCGCGCACGTCCGCAACCACGTCCTCCGAAGGGGCGGGAGTAAAGAGCGCGCAGGCGCAGAACCCTTTGACACCCCTCCCGACTACCGGGGTCGGCTTTGCAGTGGCTCAGCTCCCCATGAGCTTGTAAAGAGAGAGGCCGTCGGCGGAAACGCAGTCGGACGTGGCTGTGACGCGGAGAAAGAAGTGGGAAGGAGAGGAGACCTGGGCCGATTCCTGCCGGTGCGAGCGTCTCCTGGGCGGCGGAGAGCCTCACCTGCGGCGCCGTCGGACGTGGGGCCGTCTGGCCCGGGACGTGCGGCTCGCCGGGATCTCGGTGCTGTACAGGGGAGCTGTGAAGCCGGGTTGTTTTTGTTTGGACCTGGGGACCTATCGGAAATTGGATAGTAGGCCTGATTCAGGAGCTATTTAACACCTGTTTCCAGCTTCTTAATTTCCAGCTAGTTAATTCCCAGGCATTGCTCCGTATCATAAAACCCATCAACGGAGGAGGCTTTCAAAGCGGAGGCCTCGGGGCCACACCCCAGACCCGAATCAGGAAGTGGAGAGAGGATTGATTCTAACGTGCGTCAGTTTTAGGAGCCAGCGATCTAGCCAATCTTAGGTTCTCCTTAGCGTCCCACTTAGTGTCCATGAGGTGCGTCGGATGTCAGAGACACTAACAATAACGGCAACAGATGCTTTCCGGAAGGAGCTTTTTTATTTTTTGAAAAGCAAGTACATACTAGTACAATTGTGTATAGTGCAAAGGGCCCCAGACAGACTGGGATTGTTAGCTTGTTACCGGAAACGTCAACAGTAGCTGGTTAGGGTGGAATGAACTAAGGGGAAAGTAGCAGGACACGAGATAAAAAGTAACAAAGGGCCGGGTCATACATGGCAATGATATCTTAAAAGAATTCTGAAAACTGTTTTCTGCCCTCACACATTTTAAGCTGACATCTGAACTTTTTTTTGTCAGTTTAAATAGTTACAAAGATGGTCATTTCTGACAAGTTGTAACACTGCCCTTTTGACATGAATACGTAACTTAGATCTATCCAATGGGAAAATAAATAACAAAAGTGGTTTAATACCAAGATCCGTTTTAAAAATGCATAATCACTTGGGTAGGGGCAATAAGTTTGTTACTAGTGGAATTATTTGGAAAAGATTATGGAGAATAGGTGCACAAATTTAATCCATGTCTCAGAATTTGCACTTGTAAAAACTGTTAAGATGGTATGTGTTCTGTTATCCAGCACAATAAATTTTAAGAATGCAGTCAAAAACTTATATTTTCCTGGAAATCATATTTTTATTCTAACTGTCCTACAGAATTTTATTCTATTGCGTCCTTATCATGGTGCCTTATAGAGCCTTGGTGAAGCAGTGGTTAAGTGCTCAGCTAATAAAATTGGTGAGATTGGAACACACACAGCAGCTCCCAAGAAGAAAGACATGACAATCTATATTCCCTGTTCTTTTTTCGGTTAAGACTAGTTTGTGCTTTCAAAAAAGGAAGATAACTTCATTAAAATTTAGGTGAGGGCTTACAGAGTAGATCATGAGTTTCAACTGTTTATGCATACTTTCTTTAAACTCATCCATTTCAGTCCCTCCCTGTACCCTCAATTAGACTTTCAAATGTTTCTTGTTTCCATTCCTGCTTTCCTGACCCTTGTCCTTGGGTAAATGATGCCCTTTAGGCCTTAAATGATCAATCATTCTAACATTGCAGGAGTTCAGTGCTAGACCTGAAGGAAGACTAAAAGCCATAGGCTTGAGGGTCCCACCAGTCTTTATTCAATCAATAAGCCTGCTCTCTTGAGTGACGAGTTCTGTCCCACATTTCTCTCCCACTCTATCCTGGACCTTCAAACGCAGACTTTTCCGAGTAGTTGGTAGTGGTAGCTGGACACCCGCCAATTCTTAGTGATAATAATTCCTTTTAGAAAAGCTGATACCAGACTAGTACCAAGAAGTTGGAAATTAAAGAAGTCTTAGATGCTCGACTCTTCCAAGACACTTTTCTGTCCATTTCCCCCTGACTCCTACCTTGAGAATATTGTTTCATATTCCTAGGTTCTGATTCACTGTACCATCCCACAGAAACTCCAAACTTAGGAAATGTCTCAGACTGAGATCCAAGAGGCAGACACTGAAGCCAAATACAGGGTCCAGAGCCCAAAGTCAAAAAGTTTCAACACTCATAGCAGGCCTTCCTGCTTCTCCAGAGTTCAGTCATAAATTAGGTATAGATTTCCAAGTGAGATGATGTGGGTTCAAACTGTCCAGTGGGACTAGTATATATCCCCCATCCAAGGAAAACAGGATGGTGTCTTAAACCACATTAATAATCTGAAAGATGTCCGCAAGGAAAGTGTGTGCCTACTAACATCAACTTTTAATCCCACTCCAATCCTGTCCCTTTGTGCAATAGAGAACACTCCAAAATGGAACTAGAGCCACAGGAATAGAGTCCAAGATTGTAATACATCATAAAAGGAATTACAGCTAGAAGGGCCATATCTATTGACTAAGTCATCATCAATTCAATTTTCATTGATGTAATCACAGGATTTTCATACATACATCCATTGTGTCTAGCACATCTATATATTTGTTGCCATCATCACTTTCAAAACATTTGCTTTCTACTTGAGCCCTTGGTATCAACTCCATTTTTTCCCTCCCTTCCCTACCCTCCCTCCCTCATGAACCCTTGATAATTTATAAATTATTAATTTTTTTTCATGTCTCACACTAACTGACCAATGTCCCCCTTCACCCCTTTTCCGTTGTCCATCCCCATGGAAGAGGGTTATATATAGATCATTGTGATTGGCTCCCCCTTTATCCCCCCACTTTCCACCTACCCTGCTGGTATCTCTACGCTCATGATTGGTCCTGAGGAGTGTATCTGTTCTGAATCCCCTGTGTTTACACCTTTTTTTTTTCCCATTCTGTGACTTGTCTTTTTTATTTTTAATCATTTTATTAGGGGCTCATACAACTCTTATCACAGTCCATACATACATCAATTGTGTAAAGCACATTTGTACATTC